AAATTGATTTTAATATTTTATTTGATCCAATATATCCAAAATATCACTTGGACATGTGACCAATATAAAAATTACTAAGAAGGTAATATACATCTGTTTTTTGTCACTGTAGTCTTTGAAATCTCAATTCTGACTTGTCAAATTTCAACTATTCAATAGCCACAAGCAGCCACCATATTGAACAGCACAGTTCTAGAGTCATTGATACACACTAATTTTTATATAAGAATAAATAATCTTAACTTTAACTCTTTAGTTGGCTTTAACCCCAATAAATTAAATGGAACAGCTCTAAATTTTTTAAAAGGGGAGAGAAATTTTATGAATTTAAACGAAACACAGAATAGTGTAAATAAAATTTTGATGATTTTAGTTCATAGGATTGGATTAGTTAGCCTCCTAATAAAAAAAACAAGGTTATATTCCAAGTTTGGTCAGAGTTGTTAAATTGTTTTCCAAGACTAACTATGGCGTTGAAATATTTTCCTGTAATTGTTCCTGGAAAAAAAAATGGTGGTAATAAGGAGATGTGTTAACAAGAAATATAAAGAATAGAGGAACTAAATTAACACCTACACAAGGAAATAATCTGATAAGTCCAGAATTTGGAACACACTCAAACCATCAGTGATTTATCTTAAAAGAAAAAAAAAAAAAACAAAAAAAAAAAAACAAAGAAAAAGTGCCCTGGTTTGACTCAGCGGATAGAGCATCAGCCTGAGACTTGAAGGGTCCCAGGTTTGATTCTGGTCAAGGGCATGTACCTCAGTTGCAGGCTCAATCCCTGGCCCTGGTCAGGGTGCATGTGGGAGGCAACCAATCAATGTGTATCTCACTCGCATCCATGTTTCTCTTTCTCTGTCTCTCCCTTTCCCTCCACTCTCTCTAAAAATCAATGGAAAAATATCCTGAGGTGAGGATTAACAACAAAATAAGTGGGGGACTCTTTTAGATTAAGAAATATTAGACAGATATAATTAAAAAGCAATGCATAAACCATGACTAGATTCTAGGGCAATTTGGGGACAACTGAGAAAATTTTATTATGGACTATCTATTAGATGATATTAGGGTGTTACTATGAGTTTTCCTAGTGGAATGGTATTGAACTTGGGTAGAAAAAAGTCCTTATTCAGAGGAGCAGAACATTAAGTATTTAGGAATAAGATGTCATGATGTTTGTAACTTATTTTCAGAGATTCAGCAAAACAAATCTATATAAGGCAAATATAACAAGCCTATCTAGGTAGCTAAAGCCAATGTGGTAGAACAGTAACAACTATTAACCTACAAGATATATTTATGAGTGATCATTTTACTATTCTTTCAAGCTTTTTTATATGCTTAGAAAGTCTAATACAAAGACTTTAAAAAAATTAAACCTAAAAGAAAGAAGCGCATATCAATATTCCATTTTTCTCAATTTCAGCAGATGGGATAAAACTACAAATCAAAACTGCCTATACATTTCCTCATATAGATTCTCATAGTAAAAAAGAACCAGCACAGATGTAACATGTTTTTATTTCTGTGCCCTTTCTGGCACTGAGCATATATAATGGATATTAAAACCACCTTGTTTGAGATTGCAGTTGCTAAGCATAGGGAAAATAGATGGATCCAATTTTCAAGCTCAAAATATAGTGTTGGGCAAAAGTAGGCTTACAGTTGTTCATATGGAAAACAATAAAATAAATAATACAAAAATAAACTCTAGTGTTTCATGTACTCGCAACTGTAAATCTACTTTTGCCCCACCCTGTATAATGGTGTGAAACAGTCCAAATTCTTACTTCCTAAGCAAATTTTCCAGTTTAGTTTGGTTTCTGAAGTTTTATTACTAGAGATAAAGTCTCAAATCTAGCTAAATTAGTGTTTTGAAACATTTTGAAAGCCATAGATTCTATTGATAAACATTAACTCATACACTAAGACAAGAATCACTGACTACCTTCCATTTATCTTATCAGTATTATTAAAATAAAACAAAGATTTCTCAGTGGCCAGGGCCTTATTAAGTTTTCCTAAGAAATCAACTCAAGAAGGAGGCCTTACAACATTTTCGTTCAGATGAGATTGCCAATCCCTGGCCAATGGGTAATAATCACCTCCTATGCAAACAATCCATCAGAAGATACAACTGGTATTTTATACGATTTACAAAACTATCTGATAGTAATAACTTGCAGCCACTGTCACCATTGACCAGCTTGAACTGATAATTGGATATAAAAAGGTTTTGTAGCTCAGCACTTAAAAATCACTATTAATTATCTGCCGAAACCAGTATGGCTCAGTGATAGAGCATCAGTCTGCAGACTGAAAGGTCCCGGGTACGATTCCAGTCAAGGGCATGTACCTTGGTTGCGGGCACATCCCCAGTAGGGGGCGTGCAAGAGGCAGCCGATCGATGATTCTCTCTCATTGATGTTTCTTTATTTTATTGTTTATTTTTTTAATATTTTTTTATTTTATTGATTTTTCAGAGAGGAAGAGAGAGGGATAGAGAGTTAAAAACATCGACGAGAGAGGATCATTGATCAGCCACCTCTTGCACACCCCCTACTGGGGACGTGCCCGCAACCAAGGTACATGCCCTTGAACGGAATCGAACCCGGGACCTTTCAGTCTGCAGGCCGACGCTCTATCCACTGAGCCAAACTGGTCCCGTCAGTGATGTTTCTAACTCTCTATCCCTCTCTCTTCCTCTCTGTAAAAAAATCAATAAAATATACATATTTTTAAAATCACTATTAATTATCCACCATATTGTCTCACAAGAGGGGAAATTTTATTTTCTATTTCACAAGTACTTTCATCTAGTTGGAAAGTTTTTTTTTTAAATATATTTTATTGATCTTATACAGAGAGGAAGGGAGAGAGTTAGAAACATCGATGAGAGAGAGTCATCGATCAGCTGCCTCTTGCACACCCCCTATTGGGGATATGCCCGCAACCAAGGTACATGCCCTTGACCGGAATCGAACCCGGGTCCCTTCAGTCCCCAAGCCGACGCTCTATCCATTGAGCCAAACCGGTCTCGGCTAGTTGGAGAGGTTTTGTTTGTTGTAGTAATGGAAAAGCATTTGTATCCTATGTAATAAAGATATAATATGCAAATTACCCATCACACCCTTATAAGATGGCTGCCTATGACCAGGCCGGCAAGGGGGTTAGTGAGGTATGACCAAATGACTGAACAAGCAGGTTATGTGGATGACCGGGCTGGTGGGAAGTTAATGAGGGACGATCAAACAATTGAACAGCAGGCTGTGTTGGGTGACCAGGCCGGCAGGGGGGAGCCGTGAGAGGTGACCAGGTCAGCAGAGGGGGGCAGTTAGGGGCAACCAGGCCAGCAGAGGGGGGGTTTTGGGGGTGGCCAGGCCCGGGGGGGGGGGGTGATCAGGCTGACATGCAGAGGCAGTGAGGGATGACCAGGCTGGCAGGGGGTGAGCAATAAGGAGCCAGCAGTCCAGGATTGTGAGAGGGATGTCTGATTGCCAGCAGTTGTACATCCCCTGAGGGGTTCTGGATTGGAGAGGGTGCAGGCTGGGCTGAGGGGACCCCTCTAACCCCATGTACAAATTTTGTGCACCAGGCCTCTAGTTTAATATATAAAGACAAAACAGGATTCCCCCAGGGAAAGAGAGAGATAAAAACAGAAGGAAAAAAATCAAAACAGAGACAAAAGATTTACATAGTTGGTGTACTATGATTATCACTGAACAAAAATAATTAAGAAATGTATTCTTTAGTTTCAATTATTTCTGCCTTATCAGTACATTCTGAGAATAAAGGTAATAAAATCCAAAAAACTGAGTTCTGTATTAAAATATATTCATTTACCCTCCCTTCTCTTTTTCATGTAGATAAAATAAAAGTATATTAATGAAATTTCACAGGGAAAAGAATATGCCAGGCAGCTATTATTGGGAAGGCGCAAATCTGTTTTATTTTTCAAATGGTGTATATGGCCTTCTTTTACAAATATTATATTTTTATCACCTGGTTTGGTTAACTAAAGCTTAATAACTATTTAACATGAAGGGTGTCGACCAAAGCTTTACAAGTGCTTTCTAGAAAGAAGATGCAAGATAAACAGAGCCCCAGAGGTAAACCACGTGGTTAGAAACCAATTAAGTTAAGCAATTACTGAAACTGCTTTTTCTCCTTTGGGCAAGAAAAGATCACAAGTGAGACTCTGATATAAAAATGAAAAATGCTTACATGCAAAAAGGCCAAGGCTGCTTTGGAGAAAAACTATTTTTACGATAGCAAAACTATTTCATGGTAAAAAGTACAGTTTGATCAATGTAGATGAAAGATTTATAATCTACTTGTATAGAAATGTAGAAAACAATGGTTTTAGATATAAATATAATTTTAATGGTTAAATGTAGTTAGCATGCACAGTGAAACAGGGAAAACAGAACTAAGTAAGAGCGGAGGACAGAAATTGCCACTAGGACCTATTGGTTTTCTATAGCTATTTTGTTTTCTTACATTTTAGAGGAATATGAAACTGTATTAATGCACCATTCAGAACTAAAAAACTCAACTCTATATTTAAATTTTTTAAAAAGAGAACTAAAGGAAAAAATGTATGTGTTATGAAATCATCCATTTTTTAAATAGCAATATGCAGTAAAGAGATGAATTCATTGGGAACTAGCCTCACACGATTCAGAGTTCATTACTTAGTGAAGAAAGAAAAGCCAAAGCAAGCTCGTAATATTTTGGACTAAATAATTGTGTTTCAACTTTAAAAGAACTTTTAAAATGAAACCACTCCACTACTTACCTAATTCTTCTTTCACCCACAAAATGTTTTTAAAAATCTAAATGCACAAGCTAAAACAAATTAGACTTCTTAGACATAAAACTATTCTTATCAACTATTCATTCTCCTTTTGGCTCCTGACCAAGCCTGGAAATCTTATCTATAAAGATATCTTGCCTTAACTAAATGAGTACCATCTATTGCTTTCAAATGCACTAACCTTCTCAAAAACACTGGATGGGGTCATCAAGCAAAACCTGATGTTCTGAATAATGGTATCGGTATGTCTCCAGCGTCTTCTATCATGCCGCAGCCAAGACTGCACAGCCTCGTACAGCTCTATCTCTGGGAACCTGCTCAGATGATCATTATCCAAATAAGACATGAGCTTCTCAAAACTCAGATATGACAGGAAGTCAGGCCTGGACATGAGTGGCACAAAGTTGTCTAGCAGAAAGGATTCCAGCTTCTCCCTAACTCCCTCGATGTTCACACCGAAATCATCTAAGAGTCTCATGATTTCTGCACAGTTTTCTAAGCAGATTTTTGCTAACAGGAAAGAGCAGCAGAACTTCACCACTTCTATAAGTTGAACATACATGGCAGCCTGAAGAATCTCATGAACAGTATTCATACTCAGTTCTATAGTTCCATAGTACATAAACTGAAGTACGTGGCTGAAGCCAGTAGCAGTTAGACCTTTTAAGTGAATTTTGTCCTGATCACGCTCCCTCATGTCTGCGGTAAACATAATTCGGAAGTAATCACTCTGCGTGGCCAAAAGTGCTTTATGGGCATGGAACTGATGATCATCAATAACCAGAGTGACATCAAGCAGCAGTCGCTCCTCATACAGTGTTCTGAACCCAGCAGAGACACTGGTGTCATGGAGGGAGGAACAGAATCCTTCCATCTCCCCTGCCATGAATCGCCTGGAAAAAAAGTAATCAAAGAAAACTGTGTTAATCATTTCCATGCATTCTGAAGACATTATTAACTTAGAGCTTAAACAATTTTTTATAATTATCGTCTCAATTCCACTGTCTAAGTCCTAAATGTACAAGCCCTTTGGGAGAAGATAACCTAAAGATTTGCAGGCTAATATTTTTGGCTTCCCTACCTGTGGAAAATTATTAAATATCTACCAAAAATGGTAAATTGTTAACTTAAAAACAATAATATGCTTATTCCATTGATTTTTTTATACTGCTCGACAAATGTATCTAAACATGTCCCCAGATTAACAATACATAGAGGATGTCTTAGTCAAATACTAAATTATGAAAGAGACAAAAAATTAAATAAAAAATTACACTGTTGAACTTGAAAACTCCTAGAACTGAACCAAAGGAAAGACTCACATAAATATGCCAAGTTATCTACACAAGGTTTTTCTTTCTAGCCTTATTTATAATAAAAAATTGGATAGCATTCAAAAGCCTAATAATAAGATTAAATATAGTACAGTCCTCTAATGGATTACTATCACAACTACCTATTCTGACAAAGGATATTAGGTATTGTTATGTGGAAAAAAGCAGGCAACTGCAATATACACAATATATTTTCAAAAATTAAATACACATGTATATGTTTAAGATGAGAAAAAGTCCAGAGGAATATATACCAAAATAATGTCCCTGGATAGGAGTTCAAGAATTATTGAGGTTTAACTTTTCCCTTTTACTTACCTCATTAACATTGTTTTTTAAAATGACCATTGCTTATATATTTAAAATATGAATAGTAAAAGGAAATTAAACCACATTTTCGAGTATCAGAGAAATGAAGCCAAGATAGTGAAATTAAAATAGATCTCTTAAGTAAAGCCGAATAAACTAAGCCAGTCTACTAGAGACTATTTATGAATTTTCTCCTTTTCACAGAACCCCAACCCAGACCATCTATCCTCTCAATTCTCATCCTCACACAGCTCTGAGCATCCTCCCCAACGACCCATTTCCCCAACCCAATTCCCTCTCAACCCTTTCCACTGTGCCCAGTGGAACCTTGCATCAATGTACACAAACTCCCCTATAGGCTCATGCTGGTCACATCAAGTTTCATCTGATTAAAATAAGAAAAATAATTTTCTATATTCTTCATAGAACAAAGTGTTCTCCTATAGCTTACAAACCTATCTTCTAAGCCTTCTCTTATCTTTCTACTGACGTTTTTCTAAAACATGGCCTTTCACTCAGACAAAAAATCCATCCTCTGCTCTAACCAGTTTGGCTCAGTGGATAGAACATCAGCCTGCAGACTGAAAGGTCCCAGGTTCGATTCCGATCAAGGGCATGTACCTCGGCTGCGGGCACCGTGTGGGGTATGCAGGAGGCAGTTGATCAATGGTTCTCTCCCATTGATGTTTCTAACTCTCTATCCCTCTCCCTTCCTCTCTGTAAAAAGTTAACAAGATATATATTTTTAAAAATTGTTATCTTGGGATAGAAGAGTATCAGTAAGTTTTACCTTTCCCCCCTTTTTGCTAATTTGTTTCTTATCTGCAAAGTGTATTATTTTGTAAAAGTCCATTTTTTAAAAATAAAAAAAATCCTTAATTGACAAATTCAATAGTTATGTCCCAGTCCCTATTTCTCAGAAACCTTCTGCAACACAGCATACATAGCTTATTATTCATCTTCATGGCACTAGTTTTTTAAATGTTTTAATTGATTTTTTAGAGAGAGAGGAAGAATAGAAACACTGATGAGAGAAACATTGATGGGTTGCTTCCTGCACGCCAGCCCTCCTCCACAACTGGCGATAAAGCCTGCAACGTGGGCATGTGTCCTGACAGGGAATCTGAACCAGTGACTTCTTGGTGCATAGATTAATGCTTAACCACTGAGCAACACTGGCCTGACACCATTTTCCTGATTCTTTTCCTATTCTTGAGCTGCTTATTTCTATCTTTCCTAAGTTCATTTTCCTTGAACTATGCTATTCCTTGAGCCACTCCTTAATCGCCGGTGTTCCCTAAGATTCTGTTCTTGCAGGGTTTTTTTCTTTTTTTAAAAATATATTTTTATTAACTTCAGAGAGGAAAGCAGGGGAGAGAGATATAAACATCCATGATGAGAGAGAATCATGGATCAGCTGCCTCCTGCAAGTCCCTAAAGTGGGGATTGAGCCCACAACCCGGGCATGTGCCCTTGACTGGAATCGAACTTGGGACCTTTCAGTTCGGATGACACGCAACACTCTATCCACTGAGCCAAACCAGCTAGGGCTTGAACCTTTTTTTCTTTTTTTCTTCATCTCATCTAAGCACTGTCTCCTTACATGATCTCATCTAAACCCATGGTTTTCACTAATGCCTATCTTTACTGTTACCTTGACAATCTCCATCCTTATACCAGTACTCTAGATCGCAAATGGCCTGTCAGACACTTTTGGATCCCCACAAAGATCTCAAAATCATCATTTCTAAACTGAATCATAATTATATCTTCCCCCAACCAGTTCTTTTGTATTTCCCATCTTACCAAGAGGCATTCTAGGTATGCCTTTGTCCCCATTTGTCACTTAATTCACCTTAAAGTCTTATTGATTTTACCACATATGTTTACTTACTTGACAGCAAAGTATTCACAAGATGAAATTAATATTAAACCTTTTATTATTACTCCACTAATCCAAAAGCTATATACTTTCATTCTGGAAAGGTAGAGCAAAAGAGCTATCTATAATTTGGAAAATAGTATGAAATATTTTAGACCTTTCAGAGAACTGCCTTACTAAAATACTAAAGCTTAAACTATAGGACTTTTTCCCCTGAATTGTTTTTAAAGGTAAAATTTAATGAGCTTAAAATTTTCCAAGTGATATGAGGCATTGCACACAACTGAGTACCAGGAACAAAAGGTAGTGTCTGAATAATCACACATTCTGGCTATCAACATCTCACTAATTATCAATTTCCAAAATAATTAGAATAAAGTAGCAAATTAAATTGGACGAAAAGTTTAATATTTCATTATCTTTCTCAGCATCATTATGGATATCAATTACTGCTCTGACTCATCAAGATGTATTGGTCACATTTAATGGAGATTTAATAATAGAAGGCTACACATCAGCATTCATTTACTTGAGTAGACTGCATTGTTTCATTAATCTATTTCATCAGTACTTCACACCATATATTTCACTTCTTGTGAAAGTAACCCTCTGTATTCAACAGTTATCACTATCTTATAAGGTCTCAAACAGCTAATATTCACTTTTCTGGAAAAAAGTTCCATGTAAAGAAAATATTTAAAAAGTAATACTAGCCGAAACCAGTTTGGCTCAGTGGATAGAGCATCGGCCTGCGGAATGAAAGGTCCCAGGTCAAGGGCATGTACCTTGACTGTGGGCACATCCCCAGTAGGCGATATATATATAATTTTTTTTTTTTAATTTCAAGTCTGCTTAAAAAAAAAAAAATGTTATTATGCGGCGGGTAGCTTGAATGGAGCTTGTCCCATACACCAAAAAGTTGCGGGTTTAATTCCCGTCAGGACACATAACTAGGTTGCAGGATTTTTGTTTTTTAAATTATCTTTATAGATTTCAGAGAGGGAGAGGGATGGACAGAAACATCAATGATGGAATCATTGATCTGATGCCTCCTGCATACCCTCTACCAGGGATTGAGCTCGCACCGGGCATCTGCTCTTAGCCGGAATGGAACCTGGGACCCTTCGCTCCACAGGCTGAGGCTCCATCCTCTGAGCCAAACCGCTGAGACCAGGCTGCAGGTTTGGTCCCGCTGCGGTGTAAGGCACCCATGTTTCTCTCTTACAACGAGGTTTCTATCTCCTTTCCTCTCTAAAATCCATAAAATAGATCCTCGGGTGCGAACTTGAGGGCGAGAGGCTCTGCTTTCTCAAAAAAAAAAAAATAATAAATAAATAAATAAATAAATAAATAAAAAATAAAAAACCACCTGTAAGAGGGAAGAAATTACGGGGAAAGAGAAAGGCAGGCCGTGTGTGGAACTGGAACGAGAACTCCTGCCGCCACGTGGGTGAGCATAAGCCCCCGCCCCGCTCCCACCGCCCAGCTCCCGGGCGTCCCCCTCGGGGACCTCGGGCCACGGGCTCTGCAGGCCGGACTCACCACAGGGGACGGAAGGGACAGGGTCGCTGGCGCCCGGGTCAGTGCCGCGTGTCTCCCAGCGGTCGCTCCGCACCGGCTGCGCTCCGCACCTGACACAGGGCAGCAGCACAAGATGGCGGACGCAGACGACGCTGCCCACGCTGGCGGGCGCACAAGATGGCGGACGCAGACGACGCTGCCCACGCTGGCGGGTGCACAAGATGGCAGACGCAACGGAAAGCCACGAGGTCTTAGAGGCGGGAATCTCCTCAGAGCCCCCGAGATCCGGGGACATCACTTTTGCGCCAACCGAAATTCAAAATATATGTGGAAGCACGTTAAGTGGGGGAGAGTGTGAGTGTATGTTAAGGTGACCAGACGCCCCGCTTTTGCCGGGACAGGCCCAATTTTTAACAATTTTCCCCTCGGCGTTTTAAAAGTCACAATTTTTGGAAAAAATCGAAACTGTTTTAAAACAACGCGGGACAAGTTGTTCAAAAGCGAGATGTCTGCTCAACTTAGTGTGTTTCTGTGTGTGTGGTGAGAATGCCATTTTAAAACGGGTTGTTAGTTTTCTTGAGTTAATTTTTAATAAAAAAAAATCAGTGAACTCAGAATACAGTTGTGAAGACAGATAATGCTCACCAACACTTTCATTTTTTTAAATATCTAGGCCTCGCTCTATTTCTGCCTTTGGGTTGTGAAGGAAATCCTTCCATTCTTACAATAAATTCTCTCTTTTTACTACCTTAGGTAGGTTTGTCCTAATACAGTTTTAGAACAAAAATACCTCTACTTTCTTGGTATTATCTTTTCATCTATAAATTACAGCATTCCACA